AATTCAAAAAAGAAGGTATAGAATGAAAAAGGTGTTAAAAGGGGGAGGAACGAATAAAGATTCAAACAAGGACAAAACGATATTGAGTTGAATCAAAAAAATTTTTTTTAAATTGATCTACGATGGGATCATGCATGAATTTTTGGAAAACCTGTTTATAATAATCGAATCATATTTTATTTAGTTGATCATAGTAAAGTCAAAATGCCTTTACCAAACGTGAAAAAATATGTTCTAGATGGTAAATTACTACCGAATGCTCTTAGTTATAGTTTTCGCATTATCTCAGGTAGCACTTTATTATGCTGTAAAATAAGTGCTTAGTAGTTTAGATCCTATAGTACCACTTTGATAAAACTCTTTTTCAAATGGCAAAATACGAAATTAATTGAATACGAAGAAGTAATCTCTGAAGTAATTTTTCCGGATGAGATTTCTACACTTTTCACTGAACCTTTTTTTTTGAAGGATTTTTAAGAGATAATCCTGAGGCGATTTCATTTTGAAAGAAACGCTTTAGGTCTGCTGAGCTCACCATATCATCTGTTGCCCCTTACGAAGTAAGTTATTCTTTACTAATTAGCTTTTGAAAGTCTGTTGCTTATAAAATATTTCGATCTTTGAATGTAGAATATGTATGTCTCATAGGCTCGATTTATTCACGAACTCAAGGTAACCTTTGAGCTGAGGAATATTCCAACCGCAACTAAGGAGGATTACTTCAGTTTCATCGATGACATCCGCTGGTATAGTAACAGATATTACATCGATTCAACTGGGATGCGTAATCTCAAAGACATTCGACCACTTTGGATTCCATCCTTGCAAAAAGCATTGGATCTACTCTATAAAGGCTACATTAAACCACATGATTATTTGAATTTCCTTGGTAAAGATTCGTTGTCTAACAAATTGAGGCAAGTCATTCTCGATAGCTGTGGATACGGTATTTTTGTTGAATGTTAGCGAACAACCAGCGATATCCCCCTTCCTAAAGAAATAGAGAGTCCCGCCCACAGCGTTAGTTGGATGTCTGCCTGTCAAATCATCTTGGTGCCAACATTGACGGAACTTGGCATTTTTATATACGAAAAGAACAATCAGAAACGTTTTAACAATCTTATTGAAAATATCACCTATCCTAAAAATGACATCTGGGTGTATGTTCGCTACCTCCAGACCGGACAGATTGAAAAAAAACTTATCTCAAAGAACGTGCAAATGCTTGGTGGGCTTCGTACTGGAATCTCAATTTCTATCTTGGAAAACTTTGAAAATGGTTCAAGTGTATGGAGTGATAACCTTTTAATTGTGGAGCTTAAAGCTTGTACTGGTGGTCGATATATTGTAACCGCAGAATCAGGAGACAATGCTATTGTGTTTAAGGCAAAGTCGTAAATTGGCTTTAAAGATCGTGCGATACAGAGTGACCAATTTATTAGTTTTAAACGTAACTATCTTTTATTCGTGTTTTATAATAACGTAATTAAAAAATTTTTTTTTTATTAATATTTTCTTTTTTTTTAAAAAAAATCATTAAATTAAATCATTAATGTAAACAAAAAGTTGATTCTTTTTATGATATGAAAAGTGTCACGCTGGAATCTCTTGGAATAACCAGATATTGTTATCGTCGAATGCTCGTTTGGAAAAACTGTGACCGGAGACTGTAAAGAAGTTAGTGAAATGTAGGATGCCATACAAGATCTTGCTGTAAGTAAAACAGAAGAGAGAGGGTCAGAAAACCAGAATAAGAAAACTGGACAGGCATAAAGCTCATCAAAAATGGGGTGCGACCGAAATGTCCCTACTTGTTGAAGGACTTTATAAGGTTTGTGTGAAACAATTTTTTCTTTTTTTTTTATTTTATAAAAATTTGGTTCATTTATCATGTTTCTCATACCTATTGAATTGTTTAGCATGACGCTAGTAATTGGAAGAAAATTTTAACCAATCCAAAATACCCTTTTCCTAGGGATCAAACAGCTGTTGATCTCAAAGATAGGTAAGTTAGTTTTCTTTTTTTTTTAATATGATAAAGGAATGTGTTTTTTTTTAACCAAGTTAATTTTTTTTGTAAAATGATATTAGTATGGTAATTTCTGGTCGAGAATTGCGAGTGAGCAGCAACTGAATTTAATGCATCAGACTGGACAAGATCGGTAAATTAACCATCACAGAAACTGCACTTTTTCTTAAAAAAATTATTATGATCCCAATAAATGATTAGATTATTTTGAAGGTATAGAGTTGCGTTCTCTGAAACATACGCTCGTTCTCATTTTATTAAATCACGAAAGTTGAATTATATTGAACAACTGGATTCCCAAATTCCAAAGAAGTTTTATGCGTTGCCATTCCAAACTTTACAAAGATCTGAAACACCTGACGTATAAACACTTTTTTTTATACATTATATTAAATTAGGAAAAAGAATATGCATTCTTATAGTACAACAACTAATATTTCAAATATCAATTAAAATAATTGTTTAATAATCACAAAATTATAGTTATCATGTGATCAGATATTAAAAAATATCAGGAATCATCATAAACAAGCATTATAAAAAAAATAAAAATAAAAAATTTTAAATATACTTTCTTAAAAATTAAATTTAATATTTTAATCGCGTGTGTAATAAAGATAATTTTTAAAAAAGAGAACTTTGGTTGTGTAATAATATCTTAGAGGTTGATTTTGCTGGCAACGGATAAAATAAATACCGTATAAAATTTGGTTGTGTAACAATATCTTGAAGGTTGATTTTTTATAAAAAATTAAAAGAATAAAACAAGATATCAAACAAGATATCAACAAGAAATCAACAAGAAAT